CTTCCTGCAGAGTCTGATGCCAACAGATCACCATCTGTAAACCACAACAGTCAGCTATAAGGGGAGATGAATGTTTTAAAAAGAGTTTGCTGGTGATTGTTAGGTGTGACAGGTCAAACTTTGAATTCAAATTCACATATTCCTGTGTATTTTTTAATTATTTTGTAATTTCAGCATCCCTCTTCTTTGTAATCACTAGTCTCTCAACATTTGACCCTTGCAGATTCTCACAGCCTAGACTCCAGTCGATATTCCATCGTAGGAGCAGATCTCCGTTTCTCATCAGATCTGGAGGAGAAGCTAAAGAAACATAACCTGGATATACAGTAAGATGCTTTGGTGTTTTTGTTTTAATGAGGGCTTGTGGAATCATACTGGCGAGAGTGAAGTCAGGCTTGGGCAGGCAGTGTCTGCCTCCAGCACTCATTATGCCATTTCCATGGTTACCTCCTCTGGAGCCCTGGGAGCAGAAGGAGCTGTTCCCACACCTCGTGGAGCTGAGCAGGCTGTGACTGTTGGCTACTTCCAAGTCTGAAGCAAGGTTCTTCCTTGCATAGTCTGTTCTGCAAACTGCGTTTTTATCCTTCCTGAGAAGATCAAACATCACAGAACTGTTTGCTTCTTGTTCTTGAAATGCCAGGGGGAGTGAAGTGTGCCTGGCTGTGAGTGCGTTCCTGGTGGCTGCCTCTCTGGGGTACAGGATCCTTTCACACAAGTCAGAGCTCTGGGCAGGCAGCTGCAGTTCCTTCTTGCTTGCCCCCATCCCTTGCCCTGTAGGGGATGAATTCCTGCAGCACCATTTCTGCCTCGGAGCTCACACGGGTGTTTTTTCTATACTTCATTAATTTAACTCTTTCAGAGATCTCTAGAAGAGTTACCCTTTGCTTCAATTTGGTTTACATTTGTTAATAGAATACTGAGTTATTCAAGGGGAATCTCTAAACTGGAGATGCATCAAAATGTCACAAATTGCTTTTTTTAAAAGCTGCTTTGGTTGCATTCAGTTTTGGTGCTGACTGATGGGCAGTACCTGGATCAGTGAACATCTCCCACCTCTGTGGGAAGGCCTGTGTAAGACAAGATTTCTGGGAACTTAGCTGGTAAAATGAAAATTATTTCAGAGCATTATCTTTGTAATCATTTTCTATTGCCTCCACTTTAAACTGCTTTTTGTTCCCTAGACCTTGTGGTGAAGTGATTGCCAAAGTGGTTGTCCTTTGAGAACTGGGCTCTGGAAGCTAATATCTGGGATTTCATTGTCCAAGTGTTAGGCTTCTGGAGCAGGCAGGATTTAAGTTTTTAGAGTGGTTGATGGACGTACCTTTCAAATAAAAGAGATATAAATAGTAGCTATCTGGCTGGGTGGGAGAGAGCATATGGGTAAGCAGAATGCATCAAATTGCCATTTAAATCTTTACACTTCCATCTTCTGAAATCTTGCCTTGCTTGCCTACATTGCTGCTCCTTGTGGAATTTCTCTCTGACTTTTTTTTTTTTTTCCCTGTTCATTCTAGCAATTAAAAGAAAACCTAATTCTAAGGCAAATTACTCATGTGGGTGCCTATTTTTAGGATTTTGTGGATGGAGCAGGAAAAGGCAATATACAAACTATAGATTGCATTTTGTTAGATAACACGAAGCTTATTTCACAGATACTGAACAAACTTGCCTAATTAAAATTCTTTTTTTAAAGAACTTTTTTTCCCATTTTGTTTTTTTATTCTTAATTTTACTGATCTCTGGAAGAGGACAGGTTGTGCAGAGAGGGTACAGCTCTTCTGCAAATGAGTTTAATGTGCACTTCAGTTCACGCTGTCACAGCTCAGAGGAAACTTACAGAATAGGCACTTTTCTGTGTCCATAGCACAGCTGACTGAAGGGAGATTGTTTCCCAGTATCTCTGGTTTGTAGCCCTGGGAGTCCCCTGTGGTTAATCTGTCAGCTGCCAGAAAACCCAGTTCTAGTCAGCTTGGTTTTGTCTGGTCTTAAACGTCTAGTTCATAAAAAGGGAAGGTCTTCGCAGAAGTTTCAGGGACATGGAATTACTTGCTTGCTAATGATTCTTTATAGATTTTTCTTGTTCTTTTGTTAGAAATTGTAAGGAATGTTCTTTCTAAGTTCTCTTGTTTTTCTGTTTCAAAGTTTGCCAACGCTGCTGGTAGCGGAGTGTGTGCTGGTTTACATGACACCGCAGCAATCGGCAAACCTGCTGAAGTGGGCAGCAAGCACTTTTCCCGTGGTGATGTTTATAAATTATGAGCAGGTAAAAGAAAAATGGCATGTTTAGACCTGCATTATTGTCATAAAAATTGCTCTCAAGTGTGGGAGTTCTGGTTGTGAAATAAGAGTGGGCCATATCCTTTTGTACAGGCAGCAGTTTCTGCTGGATTTCTTCAGCAATGTGTTTCAGCTTGTAGCTCTGCTAGCTTGTTGGGAAGAATATGCAGCTATTCTCAAAGATAATTTCTGCACTATGTTGAACCAAAATGACTGAGACTTAATCCACACGTGGAGAAAACCATAGAATATTGGTTTAGATAAGACAGGGGGAAAAAAAGAATGATGCTGGATGATGGATATGAGCGTATAATGTTACATAATTACCTCTCTGTGTTCTTTGGCAAAGTGGAGCAAAAATCACATCATCATGAACTCAACCTCTTTGTATGGAAGTAAAACGTTGCTTTGGGGGAACTACGTGGCTCCAGGAATTAGTAACAGGATCTTCCAAGCTGTAAATCACTGCTAGGGAGCAAAACCACGTTGCTGAGAATGTAAAGCACAGTCGGTTGTCAGTGCCCAGTCCCTGTGTCTGAAGGCAGCAGCACTGCCACCATTAAACTGGCACTCAGCTTGTAAACGTGAGGTAGCTCAGGAGGTTGTGGCAGTGAGAAATGAGCCCTGGGGTAAGAATGTGAGACTTACCTTAATGTTATCCTGTACATTTTATGACATAGGCCATTGAGGAGTTTAACCGAGTTACTGCTTTTCACTGCGGTTACGTTCTTTTCGGAAGGGGGAACACTTTTGTCTCCTTCTCTACCTGAGGTGAATATGACAGACAGGTTTGGGCAGATCATGATTGAGAACCTGCAGCGACGACAGTGTAACCTGGCTGGAGTGGAAGTCTGCAGATCCTTAGACTCTCAGGTAAAGAGATACAGAGCTCTGGCTGTCTTTGATAGTAAACTTAATCTGTTTGCAAGTTCTGTCCCTGTGCGTGTGCACTAAGGCTCAGAGCAGTGACCAAAGCAGGTTCAGGGTGGGACAGCTGTGACCTACTGAAACCCTTTCCTACTACAGTGTCTCACTCTTATCAGTGCCATGGCTGCTTGACATCACTTGGCTCTGGTAGTTGTACAAAACCTGCAGTAGACAGGAGTGAAGCTCTGTCTCTATCCCACTGTCCTCTGCACAGAGGTTAGCAGGAGATATATAGAGAAGAGTGCTCTTCAGAGAGCAGGTCAAGCAGATGACTTACAAAATTTCCCCCTTAAGGAGGAAAACTGTTCTCTGCTATTTTTCCTCGAGTTGTCTGAAAACTGTGCTGCTTGTTTGTTTTGCAGAGGGAACGATTGCTGTTAAACGGCTGGGAAACTGCACGTGCCATTGACATGATGAAAGTGTACAGCTTTTTGCCACAGGCTGATGTCAAAAGGTATTACTGATGTCTTGCTTGTAGCCAAAATTCATCTTCAGATGCCATTTCCAAGGTAGTTCACGTCAATAATGTAGTATGGGAACCCCAAGTGTAGCAGAGGAGGCTGCGTGTGGCTGCTGGCGAGGTGGACAGGATATGGCTGAGTCTGAAGCTCTGTAGAGCCTTAAGGATAATACTTGGAGCAATATTAATGATCCAAAAGGTTATTGCTGGTAGGATCAGACTGGCAGTGCTGGTGTTTTTTTGGGTGCAGTATAAAGGAGCTCATGAAAGAAATTTGTAGATAAAAGATGCTACAGAAATGCTGTGTTGAGTTTTTACAGTACATAAGATGTTTCTTGTGAACACTGGGTCTCCACAGCACTAGATGACTGGAGTCCTAAAACATGCTCAGAACAGACAGCCACTTTTCCTGTCCCCAAGGGAGATGACATCTGGGTGTTTGCTCCAGTCTTGTAGGCCTAAGTAAGACTTCTTTGTTTGCTTTTTTAGTACAAGTGGGTGGAAAATGGCCAGTCCTGACCTGCCCACTCTTCTTTCTTGGCAGCATATTTAGGTAATGAGCCAAGGCAGGGCAGTGATTTAGTGCAGTGACCTATTGTACTATGCAGGCAAAGAGGGAGAGAGAGGAGAGGTGTGCCCAGCAGCGTGGTGGGACTGTCTCTCAACAGATGGATGCATCCTCCATTCCTGTCATCTTTGTGAGCTAGGCTGCTGGCTCTGCAGGCAGAGCTTAGGACAGAGGGTATAACTAAAGGCTGTTATAACAGTAATTTGCCTGGATTTTGTTACATTTTTTTTACGCTAAAGAAAAGCTAAAAAGGGAAAAACTGGTTTTGAACGAGTAACTTTATAGGTTTATAATATGAAGTCTGAATTACTGTGTCATTCATTAGCTATAGTTTGAATTAGCCAAACAAGTTACCTTGGTCAAAATAAGTACTTGCAAATGGGGGTTTCTCAAACCATGGAACTGAACAGGTGAGACTGAAAATCAGAGGCTGTGGGAACAGGAATGGGGACTGTGTGATTGTACCATATGGCACTTGTGCAGAGACATAGCTTGTACTCTTTTTGCAGTGTTGTTGACTACCTTAGATCTGCTCAGCTCCTTCCGCGTGTTCCAAATGCCAAAGAATAGGTTATGTAATTCTGTCCTTTTGTGTTAATGAGGCATCTAATGCTTTCTGTTTATAAAAATCTCCCCAGAAGTGTGCTTCTGCACATCTGTAAGTGTATTGAGGAACTTTTGATCCTCAGTTGCAGCCCTTCCAAATATTCAGTGTGGGAAATAAACGCTCTGATATTCAAGTAATCCACAGTGAGAGAGAGAGGAATGTGCCAGGTTAAACATTTTGAAGCAAGCACAGCTTGGGTGGGAAAAGTTCTCCCATTTGTTTGGCAGAAGACATTCAAAGATCTTACTTTAAGAAGTAAGGAAGGTAGGAGCCATTTTAGGAAAAAAAGTCCTTGGATCTTATATGTGCCATTTGGTTTGTGCTTCATCATGAGCTCACGTGGGAGAGTTGTTAGAAGCTGCACTGGTGTACCCATCACTCTTCAAAGGCATATTATGGACTTGTGATTGTCTGGAGAAAGATACTGTCTTGAGCTGCTTGCTGCAATGCTTGGGTGAAGATAGAGGCCCTGCCATTAGGCTCTGCTGTTATGTCTGCTGAAATCCAGCAAGACCAGACACGTGCAGTAAAATGGGTAGGAAGAGAAGTAGTGGTTTTTGTGAGAGGTTGCACAGATTAGTCCTGGAACATGAAATTCTAGGGCTGAGAAGTTGAAAAGACCTTGCTGGTCACTTGTTTCACATGTTGTCAGCAAAGGCTGGGAGCAGTGCTGGTATCTTCATTAAGGACAAATACCTGCATTCATTTACTGGGCAGGTAACTGCCTTACTGGCCATAGTTTTCACTCCTGTGGAGTGAAGAAGAGTATGTTCAAACCTGTGCTGAGACCCCAGCTTGAATCACCATTTTTATTTTATTCCTACAGAATAGAAGGACTTGAATTCCTGGATGAAAAGGAACTGTTTGAACAACTAATGCAGCACTACTGCATCTGCTGGGCTTCGAAGGACAGCAGTAATCTGGGTAATGTTCTTCAGCACCTAGGAGGTGACCCCCACCTTGAAATCTCATGTGGGAGGACTGGGACTATGTCCACCAGCTGTATGATGGAAGTGTCCTGGCACAGGGGTGGGGTCTGCTGCTGTGTCATTGCTGGGGCTGTGAACCCCTCTCAGGTGGTATCTTAGGGCTGTTTCTCCACAACCTCTAGAAGGTTTGGGTAGCCATCCGAGTTGCCCCACAGGGAGCCTGTCCAGTACAAGGGAGTTAGAATTCTTGCACCAAAAGATGCCGTGTGGGTTACTTTAAATAACTGCCTGCATTATACTATCAGTGCTAATTGAAGGGTTTACAAATCCTGTGCGTGTAAAGTGCCATATGGGCCCATGGTATATGAAATCACAGTGTCCTGACAACACAAAAATAAATTTGTGTTACTTAGCCCAGCCTTCTCCTGCTCTGTCCCCATTTACATCCATCTGAGATTTAATTTTTCCACACTGCTTTCTCCTGAGGGGAAAATTCCCTCTGAAGTTAACTCTTTTAAATGGGCTTTTTATTCTTAAAATTCTGTCTCTGCTAGACAGAGACCTATTTCAAGCAGGAGACTGGATTTATGCTTCATGTAGCATTATGTATGTTCCTGCTGCTTAAGAAATAATGAAATCCAAAGAATTGTGGTTCAGGTGAAGGGTGGATGTCTGTCTACAGCTGTTACTTGCCCAAAAGACAACTCTGCTGCAGACCTGGTTTGTCTCCACTTCTCTCTGTGGTTTCAGGGACTTTAGTGTCTCCAGAAAACCCTGCGAGCCTTTTTCCTCCCCTTCCCCTTTTCTGCCCTCCCCTTGTTCATGGCAGAGCAGTACTCAAGAACACATTTTATTTGCTCTCCCTTAGCAGATGTGGGTAGATGTAGTGGCTGGGACTGAGCAGCCCGCGCGCGGCTGAGTGGTCAAACTGAGCCTTCGGCACGCTGCTGCTGCTCCAACAGATGCTGCCTTGTGGTGCCTGCTGACCTGAGTCCTGCAACTTCAACAGTTTGCAGCTGCAGAAATACACATTTTCCATTTGATTTCTTATGGCTAAAAAGTGATGACTGTAATACAGAACTTATTTCTGGAGGAGCTAAGGCCCAAAAGTTCCTCTTTTCATTCCTGGGATCTCCAGCGTTATTCTTTGCTGTGATTAGGGAAGCATTTGGGGCAATTTTGGGTACTGAGGTTGTGATGCAGCATATCTTGGAAGTCAAGAAAGATAAATCTCAAAGGAGTTAAAGCATATCCATGCATTAGACATTTGTTTAATATAAAGCAGCTTTTCTTCACCCACTGTGGGTTTACTGCCCCCATTAATGGCACTTTTCCCTAGGTTTCTCTTTGGAATTCCATGGGCAGACCTGTAGGTTCAACTCTGTGCTGTTCCTTCTGCCGTGAAGAATTTCAGAACTCTTCAGATTTTCTTATTCAAATTAACTGCTGCATCACAATCAAAAAGGGTTAAAAAAAAAAATGCAGGTCAACCCATTTTCTAATTTCCTTTCTGCCCACCAAATCCTTTACTTTCAAGTTTTAAAAAAAAATATATCCCCAAAGCATCCTTCTTCCTGTGTCTGACTGTCCTGATAGTGCCGTGAAGAATTTCAGAACTCTTCAGATTTTCTTATTCAAATTAACTGCTGCATCACAATCAAAAAGGGTTAAAAAAAAAAATGCAGGTCAACCCATTTTCTAATTTCCTTTCTGCCCACCAAATCCTTTACTTTCAAGTTTTAAAAAAAAATATATCCCCAAAGCATCCTTCTTCCTGTGTCTGACTGTCCTGATAGTAGTGAGGTGCAGGTGGTACACAAATAAACACTTCTTTCTCCCCCCATCCCTTTCTCTTTTCCCATAGGTCTGGCAAACATCACGTTCTGATGGGTTTGCTGGAGGGAGGCCGTGGGTGCAGCAGCCCCAGCGCCTGCCTGCTGCCCCAGAGGAGCTCTCAGCAGTGCTGGGACTTTGCATGTGCCAGCTCGGGTGTGACTGGATGCCGTGGGTGCTGCCCATGGCCCCGGGGGCTCCTGGCACTTTCCTCAGCCTGTTCTGCCCGTGGCCAGCAGCTGCTGGGAGGTCAGACTCAGACTCAGACTCACCTCCCCTCCCAGATCCGCGGCGACGGGCTCCCGTGAGATGTCAGTAACTCCTGTTTAAAAGCTTGCCTGCCTTAGTTTAAAACTGAGAGTAAAGTGTTCCTGGATTGTATGATTCCCCTCTTGTCCTTTTGTGGATGTGTAAAATGTTTTTGTGACAGGGAGCTGGAAAAACTCTGCTGGTGAGCTGCATTGTTGGATATCTCTGCGCTGTCCGTGGCTGATCATGAAGGTTAAATTTTGTTACTTTTCTTTCTGTTCAGGTTTTATTTCTATGAAGTGTCACCATGTTGGTTTTTTTCCAGGTTTTACTATTGCTACAAGGCTGTCACTGTACTAAGTGTGTTCTTGTCAGGGAAGGGTGAAGGAAAAAGGGGACCCTTGTTCAGTGATGTGCAGGGAACTAGGTGATGTTAAAGTAGACCTCATTTAACTGGAAAGGGCTTGGCCTGGTGGTTCAGGACTGGGGTGGTGGAGGTAAGAAAGAAATTAACCTAAATTTGCACTGCTTCTGGTAGTATCTTTACACCAGTTTTTCATTCTTCTTTCTTTCCCCTTTAAAGAAACAAAACAAAATCCCAAGAGCAACTAAAGACCTTGCCCTGTTGTTTGAAATTGAATCTTGCAACCTTCCTATGAGAAAAATAATAAATGTTGAGTATTTATAATTTGCCTGTTGTCTCACTCATTAGAAATTATCAATTTGTATCTGGTTTAGTGAGTACATTTTTCCTCTCTTGCCACGAGTGTATTTTTTTAAGCAGTTGCAAGCATAAGCAACTGTTCTCATACTGTGTGTGACCTTCTGTAGAATACCTGGCTTTAGGAATGGTTAACATGGGCCTGGGCTGGAGATGTAGGAAAGGAGATTATTGCAATCCCAGAAAAGGTAAATGGTTCCTAGAATTGACAGGCATCATTTCAGAGGAACAGAAGCAGCAGAAAGAAGTGGCCTTCCCCTCAGTGCCTGCCTCTCTGCCACTGATTTTAGTCACTGGTGGCTGCAGGCCACCCCCTGTTAGGTGTGGGTCAGGCTGATTTCCCACATGAGACACAGAAATAGTGTTGGGTTAATGCTCTGCTTGGGCTTTGCAAGATGTCCACGTCAACTCTGTCCCAAAGGCAGGGATGGACTGTGCAGTTATGAAAGGAGCTTACAACCTTTGCTTCCTAGATAAGAGTGTCAATGGTATGCTTATGCCTGCACGTTTCAGATGTTTGGGCTTATCTGCACCTCTTCTATTAGAGGCATGTGTGAGCTGTGTCTGAGTGAGTGCTGACCCCTCTCTGCAGCTGCAGGAGACCAGGAGGCCCTGTCTCAGTTCTCTCAGCTTGCCACTGAAGTTGTTTCTGGAGCACAGCAGCTGTAACCAGGGGCTGCAGGGTTTGCCTCTGGGTGGATTCCCAGCTTGGGAAGCAGACTCACTGATCAGCCTCTCTGCTTCCTCAGTGGCTGCAGCTTCTGTGGCTGGCCTTCTGGTTTCACACTCTTGTTGCTTAGAGTTTGTGAATATTTTAATTTCCACTGTGCAATTGCTCTGTCTTACCTTCAGATGAAGCCAAGAAGCTAAATTCAATGAGGATCTCCAACAGCCCAGGGCAGTGGTGGAGTCCCCATCCCTGGAGGGTTTTCTAAGCCATGGAGATGTGGTGTGAGGGACACGGGGCAGTGGGGACCTGGCAGGGATGGGTTAATAGTTGGACTTTAATTTTAAAAGCCTCTTCCAGCCCAAAATGGTTCTGTGACTACAGCTGCCTAGTTAGGTTGGGATTCTGAGATGATTGTCTCACCTTGATGCCCCTTTGCCCTCACCCAGCCCCCTTCCTTTACCCAAAGGTTCTTTGGGTAAACCCTGGGAAGTCTTTTCTTTGGATGCTGCCATCTTCAGACTTTTTTGGACTTCATCAGTACTGCATCTTGAACCATATTGTGGACCATTAATTTGCTTTTCTTGCTTTTAATGAGCATATAGCATATGAGGACCTCCCACCTGCAGATGCTCTGACTCAGAGGAGAGCTTGGCTCCCATGGGGTGGGTGCTGCCTTGCAAACCCATTTGCCAGATCAAAGACATGATGTTACAAAAGCATGACTAGAGGCTGGGTGCCTTACTGACTGGGCTCTGTTTTGAAGAGACAGTGAGGTGCTCCTGAGATGGACAGCAGTAAATGCTTTACTTCTCCCACCTCCAGAGTGGACCGTAGCTCTTGGGGAGCATGGTTGGTTTTGGATCTATTGTTCTACTAGCTGGTGCTGTAACTGGGATTGCTTTTGCTGCAGGTGAACTGAGATGATGGAATTTGATGGGGTTTTTTTAATCAGCAGCATGGGTGAGTTTTGGGAGCAGGTTTGTACCTGCTCTGTCCTCACAGTGAGCATTAACCCTGTTGTAGAAGCACTTCCATCCTTTGGAAACGAGGCACGTTAGATCTGTGTCCCTGTGGATGGCAACAGGGGATCCTGTTGGACCAAAGCGTGGTGGCACTGCCATGCCAGTGCTCTCCAGCAGCCAGGAGTTGGATCTTCCTTCCCATCCAGCCTCATCGTGGACCTGGCTGTCCTTGGATCTCTCTGATGATCTCTCAGACTCTCACTGCAGCGTACATAAGAGCTGGTTCCTACTCTTGTGTATTCATGTGGATGCATTTTTCTCCCTTGTGGTTTATGGAGTAAGAACTTATTAATGAATGACTAAATTCTTGGTATTGGAGACTCCTCACAGGGCTTTGACAAGGTATCTGATTCTGCCTGCAGAACCCTTTGATGTGCTGCTCCTTGATCTCTACCCACAGACGGCTCTGCTCCGATTTGCTGTGTTAGCACTGCCTGCCCTGGGTGCTGCTCCAGCACCTGCTGAGAGGTGGTGTCTATCCTGAGAAACCTCTCTGTCTGAATTAACATGCCAAAAGTATCAGAAATAGCTGAGTCAAAGGTGCTCCAGAGTGAAGATGAGGGAAACGAGACAATGTGTGGTGTCACAGATCTGCTCGTAGCCAGGTTTGACAGGCTGGCTGACAGTTCATGTCTCTGTCAGTAAGAACTGGGGATTAAAACAAAGAAACAAAACCCACTGACAGCCCCAGAGCCCCGTGACACCCTCACCACCATGGGAGCTCCTGTGCAGTGACTAATGCTCAGTGGCAACAAGGCTGCCCTGCTGATTGCTTCTGGGTAAAGGGAACAAACACATAATAGTATAAAAGCCCCATCTCTACTATCAGTTTAATTTTGGCAAGACTCCCTTTGAAAGCATATTCCATAAAGCCTCTTGTAACATCTTTGTGAGTGGGAGCCAAGCTGAGGTCGTACCTGCTCTGGAACAAACAAATCTGTTGGCTTTGAACTGGTTGACATCTAAGATGCAGGCACTGAGCTGCTGCATTTTTCATGTGGATGGGCTTTGGATGCACCTCGCTGCAGGAGATGGTCCTGGGCTCTGTCAGTCAGTCATTTGGATGGTCTTTGTCACAGTTTAAGCCTCTCTCTGTTTGGGAATGATGTCTCTGCTAGCATGAGGCTGATGTCAGTGCAATTTCTGCTCATCAGTTTCTGTTGCAGGTGCCCATATTGATGTGTTCACCTCAGGGAAGTGCTGAAGAATGTGGCTCAGGAGTAGAGCTGGTGCCATGGGATGAAGGGCAGACAGAGGGGCATGGGGAGACCTTACAGCAGCATGCCAACACCTAAAGGGAGCCTACCAGGAAGCTGGAGAAGGAGTTTTGACAAGGGGTGATGGCTTTCAACTGGAAGAGGGCAAATTTAGATTAGATGGAAACTCTTTACTGTGAGAGTGGTGAGACACTGGCCCAGCTTGCCCAGGGAAGCTGTGGGTGCTCCAGCACTGGAGGTGTTCGAGGCCAGTTTGGATGGGCCTTGGAGCAACTTGCTTTGGTGGAAGGTGTCCCAGCCCATGGCAGGGAGGTTGGAACTAGATGATCTTTAAGGTCCCTTCCAACCCAACCCATTCTGTGATTTGTGGTGCCCTGTGTGCTCTTCTCCTGGATGAGTCTGACTTCCCACCTTGCAGCTGCTCAGCAGTTCAGCACCCAGCCAGGAGCAGGGCAATCGTTCCTGCAAGGACTCTTCAAGAGTCTCTTCTAGCTTGGCTGCCAGTGGGGGTGGAGTAGGTCACCTTATGCTCCAGGGTTCCAGCAGGATCAAAGGAATCTGTGATACCTCTGGAGCCGAGGGGAGGACGGGGGTGGGCAGTCCAGCTCTCATGATTGTGCTAATTAAATAAATCTTTAACCTCTCTTCAGGGGATATTTGGTTTTGGAGAGTGCCTGGTGCTGCCAAAGCAACGCTGCTTTGCTGGAAAGCCACTGGCTGAGAAAGGCTGAGAAACATTTCCAGCCAGGAGAGATGAGATTTGCCTTTGCCTTCTGCTGGGCTGGTGTGACTCTCAGCAGCTCCCCTGAGCTCCATGGGGAATTTCTGCCTCTCTTCTGCTCCCAGCCTTTTGCCTGGGTTGTCGGTACTGACAGGACAACAAAAATAATCCCTGCAAATTATTTATTTAATAGCAAAAGAAGTACAAAAGCATTGAAGGGGGAGTGACCTGCAAGGCAGCAGGCAGTGGTGTTGCCCCAGCCAGCCAAGCGTGGTGCAGGGCTGCTCCTTTTGCAGCCCCCTGCCCCACAGGCAGCTCCCATGGTGCCTGAAGGGCTCTGCCTGGTCCTGCCTGCAGGAGCTGTTGTCTGCAGTGGGGTCACTGCCCGTGGCTCTCAGGCCTGGCTGGTGCCCACCCCTGGGTAAGGACCCTTCACTGTCATCTTTGCCACTGG